GGAGCGTGGGGTGGGGGTGGGGTCAGGCTGTGGTGTCTTCGTTTCCCCAGAGACGGGACAGTGGGGGTGCGGTGTTGAGTGATGGCTGCGGGCGGCTGCGGGCTGGCGGCCAGGCTTCGGGGAAGGCAGAAGGGGGAGCTGCTGAGAAGCTGTCCGTAGGAGGCGCCGAGCTAACCCAGGGAGGCCGCCGGACTCCACATGTGCTGTCTGGAATGCTCAGCCTAAGCTTTTGGGAAACTCATTTTATTTTTCACTTCCTCGGAAAAAAGTTAGAAAACATGAATGGCATTCCCTTAGTCAGTGCCTGCTGAGCACCGGCATCTTTCATAATAAAACGGGCTCCTGGCTCCTGCTGGTCTCCAGGGGCAAGGGCGGCGCTCAGCCCCGGCTCGGCTCCAGTCCCCTTCCTCCCAGCCTCTGGTGCCTGGCCGTCAGGTGGCATCGGGTATTTGTTCATGGATTCTAAATCAGCTAACAGTTGGAGCAAGTTTGGAGACTACAGAAAATGACTCAAAAGGTCATCCCTATTCCCGATTCTCTGTTAGGACCTGGCAAATTGTCTTCTAGGCTATGCGTTGTGAAATAATGCAATTTAAGGATAGGTTTATCTTGGTGCAAAACAATTTTGAAAGCCACACATAGTTTTTTCAAAGCATGCATTTTTCCACCAAGTATCTGAAGACTTACATTGGAATGAATTTCAAAAAAGGTTTTCACTAAAATTTATCTTTTAATCTCATATTTCATGAGCTCTTAGAAGTGTCCTCATGTATCTTGAATTTTCAAATTTTTAAAAAAGGTTTTTTATTTATATGAAAGAGTTACACAGAGAGGAGGACTGCGGGGTGGGGGTGGGGGATTCTTCCGTCTGATGATTCACTCCCCAATTGGCTGCAAGGGCGGGAGCTGCGCCAGTCCAAAGCCGGGAGCCAGGAGCCTCCTCCGGGTCTCCCACATGTTACAGGGGCCCAAGGACTTGGCCATCTTCTACTGCTTTCCCAGGCCACAGCAGAGAGCTGGATTGGAAGTGGAGCAGCCAAGACTGGAACTGGCGCCCATATAGGATGCCGGCACTGCAGGGGGGATTTACCTGCTACGCCACAGCACTGACCCCAGATTTTCAAATTTAATCTTGTATTTTCCTATGAAATAAGTTTTACAATTTTTTTAAAAAGATTTATTTTATTTGAAAGGCAGAGCTACAGAGAGAGAGAGGGAGTGACAGAGCTCTTCCATCCACTGGTTCACTTCCCAAATGGCCAGAACAGCTGGGGCTGGGGCTGGGCCAGACCGAACCCAGGAGCCAGGAGCTTCCTCCAGGTCCCCCACGTGGGTGCAGGGGTCAAAGCACTGGGGCCGTCTTGGGCGGCCCTCCCAGGCGCATCAGGAGGGAGCTGGATCAGAAGTGGAGCAGCTGGGACTCAACAAACCTGTCAGTGGTGGTGACTTAACCTGCTATGCCACGGCGCCGGCCCCTCCATGTTCTTTCTAGCACTACAGGGAACACCTTTGTACCTAAGCCTTGGTTCACATCAGATTCTTTCCTGAGTCGCTCGATTATGGGCATGAAAGAGTCAAGAGGTCTCAAGAATCCGAAGAGCACTCTGTGTGTTGTGTTGCCAAGTTGTGTTCCAGAAAAGTCACCTGGCTTTGCTGAGTGCGGCTGTCGGGTGGATGGACTGCGCGTCCCCCTCCAGCTCGGAGGGTGTCCGTGCCGGCCCAGACCCCAGCGCCGGAGGGCGGCCGCTGTCACTCTCGCGATGAGCTCTGCCTTTCAGCGGCGCCGCTGGGGTCACGGAGGGACTGCTAGCTCCTTCCGCCGCGGTCACCGGCGCGTGCCCTCCCCTTTACAGAAAGAGAGATTCTACGAGAGCCGCTGCCGGCCAGTGACCCCGTCCTGTAAGGAGCTGGCGGACCTTATGACCCGCTGCATGAACTACGACCCCAACCAGAGACCCTTCTTCCGCGCCATCATGAGAGACATCAACAAGCTGGAAGAGCAGAGTAAGCGGCCGGCCGGGGGCGCGCAGGGGCCGGCGCGGTGCCGCGCAGCTGCCGCCCACGGCCATGCGTGCTCGCTCCTCCTTTCTCTTCTCAGATCCAGACATCGTGTCGGAGAGGAAGCCAGCCACTGAGGTGGACCCCACGCATTTTGAAAAGCGCTTCCTCAAGAGGATCCGGGACTTGGGCGAGGTGAGCCCCACGCGCAGCGCCCCCCGCCGCCCCCTTCCAGCGTGCCCCGCGCAAGGCCTGTTGGCAGATGCACCTTGCTGCTTCGGGGGCCGGTTGTGTCTGACCGCGCGCTCCGGACTCGGAGCTGGGGGAGCGAGCCCGGGCCGAGCCCAGAACCGGCCCCACTGGCTCTCGAGGAAGCTGCAGGGTCATCCGTCACCAATGCTGTCCCCGCCTTCGCTCAGCACCAAAGGGGAGTGGGTGAGGCCACCAGGGGGCCGCGGTGCGCGGCAGGGTCGGGGTGAGGCCAGCAGAGGGGCAGCTGCCGAGCAGGGCTTGCTTTCTCTGTCTGTCCGGGCAGCCCAGGCTTCTCTGGTGACAGCACGCGCGTGTCCCTGCAGGGCCACTTTGGGAAGGTTGAGCTCTGCAGGTATGACCCCGAGGGGGACAACACGGGGGAGCAGGTGGCTGTGAAGTCCCTAAAGCCAGAGAGCGGCGGTAACCACATAGCTGACCTCAAGAAGGAAATAGAAATCTTGCGGAACCTCTATCACGAGAACATCGTGAAGTACAAAGGGATCTGCACCGAGGACGGTAGGTTGCGCGCACCGGGTCAGGCTGTCGGGGTCACCGGGGCTAGCGCAGGGCAGGCCCCTCAACGTGCTTGCTGCCAGCTGCGCGGGCTCCTCCCGGGGTCGGCCACACGCCCGGCTGGGACTGGACGTGACCCATCCGGATGGCCGCCCTCGGGCCAGGGCAGCGGATGGCCCTGCTGCTGCCTCTCCTCGGCCGGGCTGCACTGGCCAGGGCACACTGCACTCCGGGCGTCGAAATCGCACAGGGGAGTGAGACCTGTGAGCCAGCAATGCCTCTCCTGGGCGGTTCTTTAAAACTGGTCATGAAATGACATGGCTTATCACTGGTATTTATGAGGCAGACGTGGTTTATAATGCGTACTTTGTGAGGCACAGAGCCCCTGCTGCTTCACTCCCCAGGTACCCGCAACAGCTGGGCCTCCACCAGAACCTCCTGGTGCACCAGGGCCTGGAACTCCAGGGGCTGGAACTCCATCCAGTTCGCCCACGTGGGTAGCAGGGGCCTGAGTACTGGAGCCATCCTCCCTGCCTCCTAGGGTGCGCGTTAGCAAGAAGCTGGAATGGAAAGCAGAGCTGGGAATCCAGCTCAGGCACTCCGCATAGAGGGCGCCAGCCTCTTCTGGATTAACCGCTATGCCCACACTCGGGCTCCTCCTGATTCCTAGAAATTGCCGTCTGCCTCCTGCTCGACAGAACATCCTGACCCTTCCCCCAGTGAGCGCTGACGCCCAGCAGGGGCATGGGTGTTCTGCCCATCACACTGGGCAGCGCCTGTGGCGCTGAGGGAGCTGAAACCGCCCAGGTCCTGTGGCCTTCCCCTCCCACCCCACAGTCCCTGCCCTGGGCAGTGCCACACTGATGGGTGTTTCTTCTCAACAGGAGGAAACGGTATTAAGCTCATCATGGAATTTCTGCCTTCGGGAAGCCTTAAGGAGTATCTTCCAAAGAATAAAAACAAAATTAATCTCAAGCAACAGCTAAAATATGCCGTGCAGATTTGTAAGGTAAAAACAAAAGGCACACGTTTAACAGGTCGGCCCCTCCCTGGCAGCTGGTTTGTAACTGGTGTCTCCAAGTGGCAGCTGTGACGCTCACCGCACTGTGCAGATGAACAGTCAGCCTCTACTAAAAAGTGAATGGATTTGTTCTGCATGGCTGGTTTTGTTTTTTAATCAGTTGGGGCTATTCTTGCATAAAACACACAAACAAAAAAAATCCCAGCGATGTGTGAATGAAATGACATTTCAGGTTTTTACTGTGGAGAGCTACAAAATGCAATCAGAAACCGCTGTGGCCATGTACCTGACCTTTACTTCTCCTTTTTAGGGGATGGACTATTTGGGTTCTCGGCAGTACGTCCACCGGGACTTAGCAGCAAGAAATGTCCTTGTTGAGAGTGAACACCAAGTGAAAATTGGAGACTTCGGCTTAACCAAAGCGATCGAGACAGACAAGGAGTACTACACCGTCAAGGACGACCGGGACAGCCCTGTGTTTTGGTAACTGAGTCACACAGCTGCCTGTCATCTGTGACTGCTGGGGTTGTTAATATCTCTTACTCCTCCGGCCCCGGGTCAAGGTTAGAGTAGAACATTTGGAATGGTTATCTGCCTTCCAGAAACACCTTTTAGACTGTTCACTGAAAGAGGCCTACACCAATGCCACCGTCTTGCGAGGAGCGGGAGAACTCTCCCAGCAGCTCCTGCACCCCCTGGACAGGGCATTCACCTGAGACAGTTCTCAGACACATCCGTGCAGCGGGCGGTCCGAGGGCAGGGAAGGGTAGGATAGGATAGGATGATTAGGAGAGTGGCAGTGGCACCTGAGGTTTGAGGAATATTTAAAGAAGCTAGATATGAAGTGCCTTAGTTTCTGGTGTGGGCCATCAGATGATTCATCAAAACTGGTCACACCGCAGACTCACCATGAGCTTACAGGAAATCAAACCCAGGACTTGTCTTCGTGTGACCCTCCTCCCCTGGGTGCATTTGTCAGGGAATGAAGAACACAACCTTGTCTACTTGGAGAAAATATGTGGTACTGAGAATATGTATGTATGTGAAGTATATTGCTCTGTATATGCAGCATGTACATGACAAGTATGTAACACACACATAGATGCTTTGAGTATGAAATTCTGTGACAAACCAGAGGTGAGTCTTTGGAGTCACTCTGTCATGTTTGTCAAAACAGCTTCCCTGGAAGTGAGGCTGTGTATTTGGCTTTCTTTCAGGTATGCCCCAGAATGTTTAATTCAGTGTAAATTCTATATTGCCTCCGACGTCTGGTCCTTTGGAGTGACTCTGCACGAGCTACTCACTTACTGTGATTCAGAATATAGTCCCATGGCCGTAAGTCATTTAAATCTAATACCCAATTAAAATGTGTCCATCCCTTCAACATTGTATTGGTTTTAAAGATTTATTGTATTTCATGTATTGAAAGCCAGAATTAGAGAGTGAGCAGGCTTCATTAATTCACTCCCCAAATGGCCCCAATGAGCAGGGCTAGGCCAGGCCAAAGCCAGCAGCCTCAAACTCTGTCTGGGTGTCCCACTGCCTTTCACCACGTGCATGTTAGCAGGGAGTTGGATCAGAAGCTGGGGCTCAAACTGGTACTTTTTAATTTTTTAAATGGAATCCAATCAGTGTATTAAGTGGAAAGAGAAAATGTCACCTGTTCAACTTGGTTTATAACTTCACAACTATTTGTGGGTCTCTTAAGGAGTCCAAAGTTCTCAAGGATGTTCCATAGATCTTATCTGTGAGGAAACAAGGGACAGTTTCATGGGAGTGAGTTAAGTAAGATAGCATTCAGTAGGGCCTTATGTGTACCTTGTTTATTCCAAAATAAGATCATTTTCATTATAACAGGCTCCTTGACAAGTGAAAGAAGTGATTGGTACAGTCTGAGGCTAAAATAATTTTGGGTTTTCATTTTTTAAGTAGTACTAAGGAGAAAAAGCCTTTTTTTTACTTTAATTTCAGGTTAACTATGGAAGTTTCACCCTAATCAATTTGATTTTTATATAAATGTTGAAAGTGAAACATTTTGTCTGGCTTTATTTTACATAGTTGTTCCTGAAAATGATAGGCCCAACTCATGGCCAGATGACAGTAACAAGACTTGTGAATACACTGAAGGAAGGAAAACGTTTGCCGTGTCCACCCAACTGTCCAGATCAGGTATTCATGGTCTATTCCACAGTAATAAACCCCAGCTTTCACTGTTTTTCTAGCTTGAGTGATCCAGCAAGGGGCGGAGGAGGAGGAAGCAGGGCAATGGATTAGAAAAATCCTTTAAAATAGTTTTTTCTAGCTGAATTTCAAGATATTTGAGAAATCCTCTCTGGGGCTGATGATACAACTTATTACATTCAAAGCACAGTTAGGGTCTACCAGAAGCAGACTCCCCTCAGTGTCTCTCCATTGCCCACCTCCAAAGAGAACTTGGCGACAGCATACTGTGACAAATACATTTTTGTGTAAGTCTGGCCCACTTAGTGACATAACATTGTTTTCCATACTCTAAAGTAAATTGGGCCTTTAAGATATACTGAATAGTGTGAGCGCAGGAGGTGGGACGTCAGAGACCTGCTCAGGCACACACTGACCCATCAGCTGGCTTCAGACACACACCAGATCTTGTTGAAGGCCACTCAGCCAGCCCAAGAACTTCTCAAATGTTAAAACATTATTCATGTACCATGTTGTAGCTCATTTTCTGCAAAACTGTTCAAATATTCTTGAAAGTCTTAGTTATCAACATCATTTACATTTTAAAAATTTTCTTACTGCTTATATCTAACATTTATACTTTTTTTCCCCAGGTTTATCAACTTATGAGGAAATGCTGGGAATTCCAACCTTCCAATCGGACAACCTTTCAGAACCTTATTGAAGGATTCGAAGCAATTTTAAAAAAGCATGAATAATATTTAAATTCTGCTGTTTGTCAAGTCCTTCTGCAACAAATAACCAAATCATTTAAAAAGTTTTTTAATGGAAAGAGTTTGTATTATGTCTAAAAAGGCACTCAAAAAAGTACTTGAGTATGTATCCATGTATAAGGCACACTGTGGCGCCTCATGTGTTTAAGGACTTCTTCCTTATATTTGGCTCCAGGAAGAGAGTTACAAACAGTGACAGCTAAAATATTAGAAAGCACCATGCCTTCTGGAAAGGAGCACACCACCACGGCATCTGGCTAGCTTGCCTTCACAATTGCATACTAACGTGGGAATTTTGGAAACAAGAGGAGTTGACCAAAGTATTTTCTCAAGAGGATTGCTTTTCCTAGCTGCCATTTGATCTGAAATGTTTTTCTGGCACAATTAGTCACTGATGAAACTTAGTGAAGTTCAAGGGCATGTTAGAATATCAGCTATCTATATGGTGACAACCAAGCAGTCTTAAAATATTAGATGCCAGTTAGTATACTGTTGTCTCTATACAGAAGTGAGTGTCAGTAGTAGGACTTAAACTTTGTTTCTCCAGTGGCTTAGCTCCTGTTCCCTTGGGTGATCACGGATGCCCATTTTGAGAAAACTGGTTATGCTGCATGTTAACTTCTTGAGAACTAAGCCTGTGCCAGTGCTTTCCTAGGCAGTCTATCTTTAATCTGAGTGGACTCCCAGACCCTGGATGCTGTAATACTGCTTTTAAGACATGTCCATGTATACCCTTTTCTAATTCTACCACTTTGGGCAAGCTGTTTCAGCATTGATTTTGGATGCTGTATATGCAACCAGTAAGAATAAACACCACCGCCATTGCACTGTTCTTAAAGAGTGTTTCGATACCACCCACCTACAAGGATCAATCACTATTTTGACCATCACCTTACAGTGCAAAACTTGAAAGACCCAGCTAAAAGGCACTGTGGAGTTCATGATCCACTAGACAGTTTTTGGTTTGCTTGTGGAGCTGTGTAGTCTGAAATATTTAAGTCTCTGATTCAATGTGAAGCATAAAGTTCTTTATGACCAAGAGTCTGAAAAAGTTTTTAATGCTGGTTAGTATTTGTCATCATAGATTTCACTTTTTGAGTTCAAAAATAATAATCAGGCCTGACTCAATGGCAGCAATAAACTTGCCATTTAAATCTGTTCACTAGCCCTCTATCACCAAGGTTTCTTTCCATGTCAAACCTGTGGCCACTCTACATGCACTTTGTTTACTCTTTATACAAATAAATATACTAAAGACTTTACATGCATATGCCTTTTAATATTAAGATTTTCAAAGCATTTCAAACAATTCACTTACATAGAAAAATAACATAGTTTGGGGTGGTGGTGGTGGTAATGGTCTTTATTACTAACACCACTTGAGTTGCACTTCTCTGTAAATGTCCAATGAAAATGGGCACAGGCCAAGTATGGATGGCAAATTCACATGTGCTATAATCCAAAACATCTTTGTTTTAGCTTTTTCAACCTCTTCCTGCTTTGTCTTTGCAGCTCTGATGTAAAAGTCACCATCCTCCCTTTCCTCAGGTTGTATTATAGTAGTGGTGTAACCAAGCACTGAAGAGGCTAAATGAGAAGAAGTACAGGGCATGGAGAAGCCACTAGTCATCTGCTGTATAACTGAGTGATGCCTACTCTTGATTAGTTATTTATAGGTAGTACTACTTAGAAATTAGCTTAGTTTAACTTTCTAGCTGTTATTTTCCAACACGAGCTAGTATAGGCAATAAATTAGACCAAGTAAAATTTTTTACAAAGCATACAACATGTACCAATTTTTTACTTCATCTCTTAAAAAAACAGGATATCTATATCATACTCAAAAACAAAAAGTTCCCAAAATGATATTTAATAATCTGATTTCAAAAAGACTAGAATCACTGAGATCCCAAACTTCATCAATTACAATCAAATAACAATGAACAAACAAATTTCTAGATGGCAAAAGGTTTCTCATGCATTTAACACCAAGGCCTTCAGGAAACAGTGATGTCAAAAGTTGTATGTAATAAAAACAAATTCAGAAGTAAATTGGGTTAAATAGCTGATATTTTTTCAGCCTAACATACTACCAAAGAATCAGAGACAAAGCAGAGACTGAGAGGTATAGCTTATTAGCTCAAAATGTTTATAAATATTTACTCCATAAGACTCCTTCAGAAAGGGCAGTACTGACTGCTTCACTATATTGTGGAAATAGAGCATTTGATGATCAAAATAGGCCCTGTCTTAGTAATCAGATCACTAGTATGTACTACAAGATGAGGCAAAGAAACCTATGTTCCTTGCCACTTGCAAGACTGTCTCAAAGGTCTTTGTTTAGGTGAAATAAAAAATTCCCTAATGAGAGCCATTACATCAGGGGTCAGCAAACTTCATCTCAAAAGGGCCAGATAGTAAATATTTGAGGCTTTGCAGGCCATATGGTCCCAGTTGAAGCTACTCAGCTCTACCATTACAGCACAAAAGCAGCCGCAGACAATACAGAAATGAATGAGCATGGCTGGGTTTTAATAAAACTTTTATTTGTGGATACTGAAATTTGAACTTCATAGAAATTTCATGTTGTAAGTTTTCTAAAAATGTAAACAACATTCTTAGCTTGCAAGCAGCACAAAGACAGGTGGTGGACCAAATATGGCCCCAGGTGTAGTCTGCCAACCCCTGTTAGGTTAGATCACCAAAGCTACTTTTTCATAAAAGGTATAAATGGTAAATAAATCTTAAAAGTAAAGCCTTGTAGCAGTGTATACCTTGGACGTTACGATCACTATTGTTGGGTTTAATATTAAGTGACTCGTGTGGGAGTATAACTGAGTTTGCATGTGGAACATCTTTATAACATTACCATCACCAAATTTGGTACTTGCACCCATGTAGTTCTAGGAAAATCTTTTTAAAATCTCTAAATGAAATTACTTCTAGGGAAAGTAAATTGAAATGCCCACTGGCTAGTAAGAAACTCATTCTAAAGGTTTAGGAAACAAGACTTATCCCATTTATTGCTTCGAACTTTTTTATATGGTGTCAAAATTATTCTCAGTCCTACAACATGGAATATTGGAACATTGTTAGTTTCTCCAATGGATTGCAAGTTAATTTCACACTGATTAAGATGCATCTAATTCTAGTGGAAAACGTCCTCATCTGAGATCTTTTCTTATTGCTACTTAATTTTTTATTTGGCAATTCTGCCTGCTGCACAACACAGTTACTTCTGGGAAATCATAAACCCGTATTTAAAGGATATGGCTAGTCTGAATGAAGTTTAAGGCAGCGATGAACAACAAAGATACTGCAAGAACCTTAGGTTATAAGGAGAGAGCTTAACTCAGTACACTCGCTTCTTTTTAAAGTAGGTTTCCATGTAATACGCTCCTGAGCCCCGACGACGCTGGTCTCCAAATTCCCCTGGACCACCTTCTGGGCCAGACATGAGATAGGATGAGCCTCGCTTTTCATGTCTTAAATGGGATGCCTATGAGAAAAGAAAACCACAGTTCACATTAAATTCAATCAAAATCAGCTTATTCATTAAAGCTACTTATAAGAACTACAAAAGCATTTCATTTCAGGTTCATGTAAATACAGAATAGGATTAATATCAAAGCTATACAAACTCCTTTGTTAAACTGGATTTTTAAATTTCTCTATCAATTACTTGTGGAACTTTTGCAAAACACCAGTTTCTAACCTCAAACCCACACATTTTGGAGTAAAGAAAATAACAGCACCACAGCTACTTCAGCTGTGTACACCTAGGTAAGTACCACCAAATAAGAATCTTAATATCAACTATTAGCATTCCCACTGGGGAAGGGGAGTGGCTGAGAAACCAAGCTGCACATCAAATCAGATGTTATGTCTGCTTAGTAAAAGGCGTGGTGAGAGACTAAACTAGGTGGTATAAGGCTGCTAAGTGACATTGAGGAAAATAATGACACTGGTAGAGATAAAAACTTTAGGGGCCAGCACTGTGGCATAATGGGTAAAGTCACTGCCTGCAGTGCAGGCGTCCCGGCATCCCATAGGGGCACTGGGTCGAGTCCTGACTGGACATGTCAAGGCTCCCTCCCCAAGCCTGTCCCAGCTCTGGAGGATATGGGCAACTGTGCATCCAGACTCACGCCTGGCACTAAGAACCTGGGTGCTGGAACTAGGACTCACACACCCTTGCCACTGCTGCCACGGATTAGAGAAAGACGGAAACATCAGTATCCAGTGGGAACTAAAGGCAAAGTAGCTACCAAACCAATACCCAAAGACATTTTTCCAGGCAAAGGCCTCCCATCCATGCAAGCTATCCTTTTAGTGACAGAAATAAATGACCTACAAAATGAGTAAAATTATCATAGGCACAAGTAAGAAAAAGGCAATATGATGCTCCAAAAGGAACATAATAACGCTTTATTTGGCATCAGACTCCAACAAAGGAGAATGACAAAATGCCCGATGAAGAATTCAAAACCAATGACAAAGGATGCTCAGAGATACAAAGAGAATACAGACACAACTGGGAAATCAATGCATGTTAATGAGAAGTTCAGAGAGAAAAATGAACCAAACTAAAATCTTAGAAATGAAGAACAAAGTAAAAAAGGAAAAATAAGATACAGCTGAAAGCCTCAACATCAGACTAGATCAAGAGGAATATCTAAACTTGAAGACAAGTCTTCTGAAATATCCCACTCAGAGTAGAGGAAAGGGGGAAAAAAAGAATGCAGGTAGCTTCCAAGACCTCTGGTGCATCATTAGGCTGGCACCATGGCTGACTTCAATAATCCTCTGCCTGTGGCACTGGCACCCCAGGTTCTAGTCCCGGTTGCTCCTCTTCCAGCCCAGCTCTTTGCTGTGGCCCGGGAGTGCAGTGGAGGATGGCCCAAGTGCTTGGGTCCCTGCACCCCATGGGAGACCAGGAGGAAGCACCCGGCTCCTGGCTTTGGATCAGCACAGTGCTGGCCGTAGCAGCCATTTGGGGGGTAAACCAACGGAAGGAAGCCCTTTCTCTCTGTCTATAACTCTACCTGTCAAAAAAAAAAAAAGAAGCTCAAAATGGAGCACTCTTCTGAAGAGGAGTAGAGGCCATAAAACCTATTCAATGAAGTAACAACAAAACAATTCCCCAATCTAGAGAAAGATATGGACATTCCAGTACAAGAGGCCCATAGTACCCCAAATAGACATGACCAGAAAAGATCCTCATTAGGACATGTCACAAAACCTCAAGAGTGCCACAAAGATCTGCCAAGTCACTTTTAAGGGAATCTCCATTAGATGAAGATTTTTTTTTACAGAAACCTTATAGGACAGGAGGATCTGTATAATATATTCCAAGTTATAAAAGAAAAAGAAAATACCAACCAGCAATACTTAACCCAGTGAAGATATCTTTCATAAATGAAGGAAAAATAAAGACTTGCCCAAACAATCAAAATCTGAAGAAATTCATCACCACCAGTCTGACCTTAAAAAAAGATGCTTAAGATAGTCCTAAATACAGGTAAAAAAGATAACTACCATTATGTAAACTATAAACACAAGAAATCATAAAGACCACTAGAAAACAAGGATATTCAAAAGATTTTTTTAAAAATGAATGGACTAAGTCATTACTTATCAACATTAATTTTGAATGTACATAGATTAACTGAATAATTTTAAAAAACAAGACCCAAGGGGTCAGTGTTGTGGCACAGATTAAGCTGCTGTCTGCAACAACAGCATCCCATTTAGGTAGGGGATGTCCCAGCTGTTTCACTTTCATCCAGCTGAGAAAGCAGATGACCCAAGTGCTTGAGCCACTGCACCCATGTAGGAAACATGCATAGAGTTCCGGCACCTGGCTTCGGCCTGGACTAGTCCTGGCCATTGTAGCCATTTGGGGAATGAACAAGGGAATGAAGAGCCCTCTCTCTTCCTCTACCTTTCAAATAAAGTAAAAAACAGCCCAATGATATGTTGCCTACGAGAAAAATACTTCACCAGTAAAGATGCACACAGACTGAAAAGTAAAAAGATGGGAAAAGTTATCCCATGCAAACAGAAACCAAAAGTGAGCATGACAGCTAAACTTCATAGTCATCATATCTGATTGATTTGGTCCCTTGATCATTATATAGTGACAGTCTATGTCTCCTTTTACACTTTTTGTCTTAGAGACAAGAGTGCACTAATAAACAAGGGATCAATTCAGTAAGACAGAATGAATAAATGTACCGCTCTTAAAGCCAGAGCACCCAATTTTAAAAGACAAGTATTAGATTTAAAGGGGAAAATAATAATAACAGGGGACTTCAACAGCCCACTTTCACCTAAGGACAGATCATCCAGACCCAAAAAAAAAAAAAAAAACTAATAAAGACACAGTGGAATGACTATGGTTTTACAATGATACATTATATTCTGTAAAATGAACTAGAAGAGAGGAGCTGGTAAGGTTCCAAACACAATGATAAAGAAATAGGTTAATGTCTGTTATGATTATCTTATGCTGAGTATGTATGTTGGAATACTGCACTATACCCCATAAAAATGTGCAAATATCACATATTAAACCAAAATTTAAAAATGTTTAAAAATTAATTTCCAGGCTCCATCCCAGAGATTCTGATCTGGGAGAATAATATTCCTCATAAAGGTCACAACAGTCAGTACATCAAATCTTGTAGCACAACCTGTGATCTCTCAAAAGCTCTGTAGTTTTTGCTTTTGCAAATACTGAGTGCAATAAAAGTTTTGAAGCAGAATTACATAACTCACTCTACAAGAATGTAGAAATGACTGGTAAGGAAAGCTTCCAGTAACGCACAAGAGCAGTCTCACATTACAACTGAAAATGGCAACTGTTTGTGAACTACCACTGGACACAATTTTTATACTGGTGCCAACCCCAGAGGAAGCAGATGTTAAGTCTGTGATAATTCCTCACAGACAACACTAGTCAGTTCTCCACCATGTTAAAAGCAATGCCAGAGACTAAAAATCAGAACTCCATTTCAGTACTTTACTTCAGTGTGGTGATAACTATTGTGACAGTACAATAAATGCCTTCTTCATAAGAAGTCAGTTTAAAGGAATGCTGTTTAAGATGAAACTGATCAGCAAAGAATTCTGCCTTGACTCTCTCTGTCTAGAATGTTTCCTAATAGTAAAATATACCTGAGGTTTATGCTGAGGTCATCTGTGGAGAGAAGCAGGTGGTCATCAGTTGACAGCTCTTGAAGCCGAGTGGATGGGGGCAAGTAACTCAGTCTGAGAAAATGGCTGCCTACAAAATTTCAGCCTGCTCACCAGGCCCTCTCCTCCCACTATGAAGCCTCTATCCTTCCCAGCTGCCATCTCCTTGAGTCCCATCATTGCTTGGTGATCTTACTGCATACTGAACCTCAACCACAAACAGACCCTTCAGGCAAAATATACTTGTTCTTAACAGTTTTCTTCCTCTCATAAAATCACTATCCATTCTACAAATGAGATTTTCCAAAGGGAAAGGGAAGCAAACACCTCACTGGCCTTTAGAATTCTCTTGTTCACCTCACTTCCTTTCCTGATACTTCCTGCTATGTAGTATTCAAACCATTGTTTTAGGCCTGGCATAAGGCAAAGCAACAACCTGAATTTTCCACTCCTTCTATAGCATCTTTATTCTTAGAAGCCAGGCAGGAAATTTATTAGATTCTTTCATTCAAATGACTTCCCAGTGGTACTACAGCACTGACAATGAGAACCAACTAAGATCTAGGAGATGAGAACAGAGAAATATTAAATAACAGGAAATGAGATGTCATTACAGCCCACATTACCAAGAGAAACGAACTTTGATATAATCTAATCAAAAATACTAGTTTTCTGTATGAAGACTATTGAATGGGAAATGATAGTCTGTTTATATATCATTTAATGTTCAGAACAAAGAAAGTAGCGAATTCAGAAAGTAAACTGCCACAGTTGCAGAGTTTGCACTGGGATCTGTATGTTCAATTGGAAGTTTAAGTCCTATCATAGTCTGAAGAATTCTGGAGAGCATTCTAATCGAAATTCTACACAATGGTTTAATCCCTAGTAAGCCTCACTTCCATAAGGAGTCACTAACCCCTTTCAGGGTGTACACTGCCAAAAAAATATTCATATTCAGAGGACTCCAATCTTCAGCAAGATTTTCCTTTAGCATGACCAGAAATCATCCTGTGGACAGTGTCCATTCAGTGGCTCTGTTCTGTACTTCCAACAATAAAACCCTTTTTACCTACATTCTGAACTGATGACTTGCTTTCTACTTCATTGAGAAAACAAAATTAAAGCCCTGACATGTACAGGGACCAACCCCTGGTCCCTTTATTGCCCATTTACTTGGTGAAGTCATCCAATATATAGTGACTTACAGGAATACAATGGTTCTCTAATGTGTACCTCTGTTCGTACCCTCCCTCTACCTCCAGACTTGCATAATGAACACCAACAGCATAACATCTCTACTTG